TACTCTACTTTCTTCTTAGATACCTATCTCTTTTCTATAGTAGCTATATAGTAGTTATAGAACTACTAATAGTATTCTCTAATAGAAAGTACGTCTAACTAACTAGCTTACTTAATTTAGGCCTTAAGAAAGAATTAAGTAGCTCTATAGTAGTCTTTATCCGTAATCTTAAATTCTTTCTTAAGGCTTATCTTAAACTACGTCTAATTAACTCTTAAGTTTTAATAGCTTATTAGGTTATAGATTAACTATTAGAGCTTATAGATATAAAAGTATAGTATTATTCTCTTTCTAGCCTTACTCTTCTAGCTAGCTCTATCTACTACAAAGTTATAGTTCTCTAGAAAGTATGTAATATTTCTTCTATTAAATATTAGAGCGTTTAGACTTATAGGTGCTAGCTTAATATATATCTTATTAGCTTTCTTTATTTCTCTTAAGAGTATAGTTAGTAGTAGTGCGTTTACTAAGAATAAATCTATTATATTATCTACCTAGTCTCTAAAGGCTTAATTATTACTATTAACGCTTAAATTATTATCTTTATTAGAATTAAAGGGGTTATAGACGTTACGATACGTCTAAGAATTAGAGTGTATAGACTAGTCTACTTCTCTATAGAGGTAGTAGTGTAATTTCTAAGGCCTAATATCTTCTTAATATTCTTCTTTCTCTTCTACTTCTTTCTAAACTCTTAGTACTACTTTTTTCTTCTCTTATAGAGGTTCTCTTAACCTTTTTTCTTTAGTTTCTAGTGTTAGATAGTTGCTTAATATTCTACTAGTCTCTATAGTAGGTACTCTCTACTTAGAGTACGAAAATTAATAGTCTTAGGTAGATATAGTAGTATAGTTTTTAATTATTTATTTATACGTTATAAATAGAGTATTAAAAGAATATTTATATTACTACTCTGTTTTTTAATTATATATAACTACTATTAGAGATTATAGCTTTTCTATCTTCTTACTAATATTCTCTTTTACTCTTAAGATAGCCTTTACTATATTCTTCTAGATCTCTTACCTAGATACTAATTAATAGGTCTAATAAACAATCTACTTATAATCTTAACTTAGCTAATAGCGTACTTATTAGTAAAAGATATTTAAATAAGTAGTAAGTAGTTTATAAATAATTAAATAACTTAGTATAATAGAACTTCTCTCTATATATATATATATTAATAATAATTAAAATCTACTACTCTTCTCTAAGTATTTATAAAATATTCTCTAATATTTAGTAATATATAAGTTACCTCTCTATAGTCTAACGTTACTATATAGCTATACTCTAATTAATAATTAGCTTAATCTTATTTCTAAATATTTGTTATATTCTTCTAGTAGTCTTCTAATTAATACGTAATAATTATAACTAGGCTTACGTAGTAGTTTAATAGTATTTTAGTACGTTAGGTTTCTTAGTTTATTAGTTTAGTATTTCTTAGTACAGCTTTTTAGGTTTTAAAGTAATTCTCGCTACTTATTTAGAGTCTTACTAGGTTCTCTAAGTATTAATTACGTATTAGATCTTCTAGTTCTTTGTAAAGAGCTAGGTATTCTCTAGAACTTGTTATTAGGTATTCTCTAGCTACTCTAGACTAGGTATTCTCTAGTATTTTCTAGGTATGCTATTATCTTCTAGTAGTAATAGATTAGGTATTCTCTAGTTTCTATTAGAACTAGGTATTCTTTAATCTTATTGCTATTAGGTATTCTCTAGCTCTTACTATTAGGTATTCTCTAGTTTTTATTAGACTAGGTATTCTATTAACTTCTAATAATAGCGCTAGGTATTCTCTAGCTACTCTAGGCTAGGTATTCTATTATCTTCTAGTAGTAAGTAACTAGGTATTCTTAAGAACTAGGTATACTATTATCTTCTAGTAATAAGTCTAGGTATCTCTTATATTTATCTAGAAGCTCTAATAGACTCTTAGGTATTTATAGTATTAGGTCTTCTAGTTCTTTGCAAAGAGCTAGGTATTCTCTAGCACTCTAGCTAGGTATAATAATTCTTCGTATCTTAGTATTTTATACGTAGTAGCTTTTAAATAGTATAGTTATTATAACGTTAGATTCTAATACGTTCTTAGAATATTTATAGCTTCTTATACCTTAATTTTTAATTTTTTAGTATTACTACCTTAATAATAATAATCTATCTCTTTCTATAGCCTAATAGACTATTAAAGCTCTATAGGCTTTACTAAAAATATAGAGTAATAAGTAGATAAGAAGCTTAATCTATAAATTAAGCTAGAAAGAAATAAATTAGTATTTAAATAAGTATAGTATATAATATATAGATACCTTTCTTACTAATTAATATTCTAATATAATATTAATCGCGTATAGCTATATTACTAGCTATATATTATATAACCTCTTAGCCTTATCTTTCTAATCTAATACCTTAACTCTAGTAACTATTAGAGTACTATACTATAGTATAATATAAGACGTATAACTAATTAGTAGCTTAAATCTATAACTAGATCTATTATCTAGTAAATTTACCTATTACTAAAGCTATTACTCTAAATAGAGTTAAGAACGTAATTTAACCTCTATAACTATATTTTAGTTACTACCTAAATTATAACTACTAATTACTCTAGCTAAGGTATATTTATTCTAATAATTTTAGTTTTTATTAAAGATCTTCTTATTTTCTAAGCTTAAAGAGAACTATTATCTATAACTTAGAGAATATAAGAAGAAAAATAGCTTAAGAAAATAATTATATCTACTATAGTAAACTTATAGAAGATATAGTACTAGTATTAACTTCTCTTAGTAGACTATAGATAAGATATAATATAAATATCTAGTAGATTAGCTCTACTAAAACTAAGCGTAATATTATAATATATCTTTTAATTAGGCTAGTACTATATCTTTAAGCTTTCTAATAAGAGAAAGTCTTATTTTTCTTTTTAAGTATATCTAATAGAGACAAATAACTTACTATATTTATATTAGTAATTTAGGTCTACTCTAGATTATAGTATAGTATATCTTTAGTAGTAGTATAACCTTCTATAAGATCTATATAGATAATAGTAAGGTAATTAGTTTTATAAGTTAGGTTTATAATAGAAATATAGCTAAGAATTTAGTATAAGAATTTAGTTTAAAACATATTTAAAGAGAATTCTTACCTTCTATAAATACTTAATATAACTACGTAGTAAGATATATCTAAAAGGCTTAAACTAGAAAAAATAATAATAAGTAAATTAAAAATAATAAAAAAGAGTAGATAAGTTTTTAATTAATTTCTATCTAATATATAACTATTTTATATAAAATCTATATTAAAGCTCTTATTATTAATATAGATATAACGATAAGTTAACCTAATCTAGTTAGCTAACTATTAAGAATAGTTAGCTTAGTCTCTAATAATATATCTAAAGTAAAAACTTATAGTTTACTTTAATTTATTCTTCTAAATATATATATCTTTAATCTTAATATTATTTATATTATAATCTTTAATTAAGTAATAAGAGTTAGAATTACTAGTACTAGTATGCGTTATATTACTATCTAGTATTAAGTAACTAGACCTTAAAAAATACTTTAATTAACTACGTACTTAATTATAATTTTATTAATTCTATTTAGATCTATATTCTTAAAGAGCTTATTATTATTAATTACTCGTTAAATCTTCGCGATAGTTCTATTCTTATAAGCTTGTTTAATAGCTCTAGTAGAGCGTATAAAACCTAGTTCTAAAGTTATAAGTATAATAGTAATTATTCTACTAAGCTTAGTTTTAATACTTCTAATATTAGATATATTTACTAGATAAATTAACTACTAAGTAATTAAGTAGAAATTAAGAGTATTACTAAGCTTAAGAGTATTTAAAGTACTAATTTTAAGAGCTAATATATAAAACCTTAAAAGAAAAAAAGATTTATATATTTAAAATTTCTTACGCTATAGTACGTATTCTCTTATACTACCTCTAGCTAGATTAAGATAACTATCTATCTTTTTACCTATATTACTATACTATAGCGCGTAGATATTTAAATATTTTAGTAAATAATCTAACTAGATAAATAACTAGTAGGTAAGTCTATAGTTATAATATTACTATACTATAGTACGTAGATATTTTAGGTTTTAGTAAGTAGTCTAACTAATAAGTAATTAGTAAGTAGTTATTATTATAAAATTACTATACTATAGCGTATAGATATTTTAGATTTTAGAAAGTAGTCTAACTAATAAGTAATTAGTAAGTAGTTATTATTATAAAATTACTATACTATAGCGCTTAGAATAATTATTAGAGAGTATAGTAGACTACGCTATTATAAGTAAGAAGTTAATATAGAAAGCTACTATTTTCTATACTATAGTTTATATATAAAGCTAGACGTATCTATTTCTAATATATTAATTCTAATATAATAATAGACTAGGTTATTATTATCTATACTACCTAGATATACTATATAAACTCGATATAACTATGTATACTAGGTCTAATCTAGAAGATATTTAAGATACGCCTTTAGTTATAGTAGTCTAGAGCCTAGAGAATATCTTAGAGATAGTATAAAAGCTTTAAGAAACTTTCTAAGAAGCCTTAACCTCTACGCTACGTAGATAGCTTAGAATAGTTTCTTAGCACTAGCATCTCTTAAAAACCCTGCTAGGCACTCGATAGCTTCTTATCGAATCTATTACTGTTATTAGGCATCTGTATGCATTGCGCCGCGCCGACTTAGGCGAATAGTAGCTATCTACTAGTACTCTTTCTCTTAATACTATATAACTTTAAAATAAGAGATTATATTAAACTTATTTTAATGCTAAAAATACTGTAGTAGCATCTACTTAGTTTAGGTAATAATACTGCATGTAATTATTCTAGTTATTCGTGAGGCTCACGTGATGTGTCCGTGCGCAGGAGCGGTCGCACTTCATAAAGCGCGATCTAATCTTTCTTCACTCTAGACATCACTTACTTAGCAACCCCCTACTCCCGACCTATAATGGCGCTACATATCGGGCAGATGCTTCGCGGAGCCAAGTGGAACTATCTCCTGGTTGAGGCTCTCGGCAACCAGACCGTAAGGTCCAATGTCTTTAAGGCCGAGATAGTACCGCGAGCTCAATCTAAGCTTCCGGGGAAATGGTTTGTCTGCTAGATAAAACGCATGTAACGTCGCCCGCTGATTCCCTCCTCAGGGCTGTTATCAAGACCACCTCGGAGAAGAAGATTCTGGATATGCTGAAGCGTGAACACGACTCCTACATGAATCCTGCTGTTCGTTCGTCTTCGCACTTCCGAGCCATGTACGACGCCATCAACGACTACAATAGCTTAACGAATGAGACGCCGTATTGTCTGGCCTTTGAGTGGATGGATTGTACTCTAAAGGAGGTTTCTTCTAAGTCCCACAGGCGGAATTCTGCGTTGCACAAGAGCATCTCTAGAGCGGTCCTAGGGGCACTTGCCGATTTGAAGTCACAGCGACTCGTTCATACAGGTACGCGCTGCCCTCTAGAGGCTGTATACTTCTACACATACTAAGAAAATCAGACATTAAGAACGACAACATTTTCATCTCCAGCCTCGACGGACCATCTCCAGTGGTGAAGCTGGGAGACTTGGGGCTAAGTATTCGTTGTGTCCCGATCAATGATAAATCATGCTGACGCCCTACAGTGCGACCAGACGGCTTTAACGAGTATCCTGTCCAACCGTTTGCGATGCGCGCCCCCGAGGTCTGGTCAGGAATAGGCTGCTTTCATTGTTCCGACGTATGGGCTTTTGCTGTCACGGTTAGTCACTCTACCACCTTTTGCTCGTGCTCAGACTAACGCGGAAAGCTTTTCGATTGGATTTCCCCTTGTGTCTTCGGCGTCAATGACATGACCCCGGGCCACTGGCCACAGCCGTGGGCAATGGCAAAGCTCTTACGACTCTTTCCTCGTTCAGTGACGGTTCATCCCACCGACTTCGACTACAAAGATTATTTCAAGATTGCCCAGCTAATTGAAAGGTCGGGGTATAGTGATAGCACAGAGCAGAAGTGTTTCGAGACACTTTCATTTGAGGAGGAGCTTGGAAAGATGGATATACCGCCCGCACTATCAGACTTCTTTCGCTACCTGCTCGTCGTTAACCATGAGCGAAGACCTACAGCTATAGAAGCACTGAGGTCGCCGGAATTTCAACGTCTTGGCTAAGGGGTCTAACTTATTTGGATGTAACATGGGAGAAATTCTCCACTCGATAGGTTTATGTAGGAATATTTTGCGCTTGCTTATCTCGAACCAAGCACGCGTATTTTAATGCCGGGATACGAACTGACGCACAAAAATTCTCGTTCTCCACGTGTGAATAGCCTAGCCTTTCGAAGTATTAAAAAAAATTTCATCAACCGAAACCAACATCTTAACAGGGCCTGTTTCCGTCCCTTTGCACGCGCCGTTAGCACGTAATCTGCGTGTAGGACAAATGTAGTAGTGGTATAAGAATAGCACGAATATTTTGTTAAACGCCTTCGGCGTCTTGCTCCTCCTTCGCGTTTCTTGCGAGATGCCAATGCCTTCCTTGCCTCTCCTGCTTCCTTCGCTTCTCGTACTTTCCAAGTCTCTTTCCTTGTGTGGCGTGGCCGTTTCCGGATGGGAGCGTCTGAAGGTGGGATAATGGGCTCGGTGAGCGGACACGATCGTTTTCACGTTCACAAATTCCATCGAGGACTGTCGGTGTCGAAGGGATCAGGGTTGCTCTGCTTCCGGCGCATTCTCGAGAGTGGTCAGTTCTAATATATGCACATTAGTTGATGGAAGCCAAGTAGAACTTGGTGAGATTTTACGTAGAGTGATCTCGGCAGTAGAGGTCGAAGAATTGTGCAGTCTTGAAATGATCTCCGCGGTATTCTCTTGCTCCTTGCCTTCTGTCGCAGGCTCCAACCTATCACCTTAGTCTGTCCGTGTCCAGCTGAACCGTTGCAATTTGTAATGCCATCCGTTGATTTATAGGCACTGCCTCCAATCGAGGTGTCCTTATGACGTGGTCCTTTCACGCCATTAGTTCCGGAGCAAAGCGTAAAGAGGACGGAAGAAGCAGCGACGAGAGGCCGGGGCCAAACGTGGGAGTTGGGGATTCCAGATTCAAAGAGGGTTGCATTTGGATCACCCCGGCGTTGCGATCTTGAACGGAGCGATGAGTCACCTCTTCATGTTGCGGAATAACATTCATCCGACCGCCGTCAGACTAAAGCAATTTTTTTTTCTTTTCTTGGCGGGGTCGCTCCCCTCGTTCCTCATCCAAGTCACAGCACATCACGGGCCGCACTCGATGTTGAAGCGTTTCTCCTCCCCATCGAGTAACAGGTATGGAAGAACAATGCCGACACAATCGCCCGAATCCTCTCCAGCAAAAGGATAGCAAACGCCGTAGGATTCCAGCCCACGGATGCCACACATACGATCGAGCGCAGGAAACACACAGGCTCCTGGCAGAGGATCTACAGCGAGATGAGAGACAAGTGGAGACAGGATCTTACCACGCAGGAACCGATCCCCCCATTTATAACACCACCGTGGCAGCGGGGCCCAAAGATCTACATAGACAAAGACGCTGAAACAGCCCGACAACGACACGATAAGGAAAACAAAACGGACCAGGGCCTCAGCATCTATACGGATGGGAGCGGGATAGACGGCAGGATCGGTGCCGCAGCAGTGTGCCCATACACGCAGCAGACACGCAGCGTATACCTAGGACTGTCCACGACGTCTACAGTGTATGCAGCGGAACTATACGGGATCAGCTTAGCACTGCAGATAGCGCAAGCATACGCGAATGGAGACGGAAGCAGACGCAACGTCGCCATCTACACAGACAACCAGGCCGCCATATGGTCGATCACCAAAGCGGAAGGACGGACAGGAGCCTACATCCTCGAGGAGATCGCACGCCAAATCCAGGACCTCCAGGACAGAGGACGACCAGTGCAGGTCCGATGGGTGCCGGCCAGGTTCCGTTCTCCCTCCAGTAGTCAACTCGAGCCTCGCTGATTGTCTCCCACCCAACTTGTTCGCCGACCGAAGCTGCAGATGTTCGTACTCGTTTTGGGAGCGGCTCGGGCGAAGAGCAGAAGGGTGGAACTTCGCCTTCTTCTCGGGGTCGCTTTGGCGTCTTCGCCTGCTGAACGGAATCGGGTGCTGTCTGGATAGGATCGGCACCTTGGAGGCGTAGGCTTCTGCGTCTTTGTTGCGACGAGTTCTTAACAGCGGATGTGATGTGATGCGAGGATTCGTCGTAACGTGGTGGCTTTACTGATGCTACCTCGGTGTGTTTGTGCTTTGAGAGTCAGCGCAGTTACGATGATAAGAGTTGCGACAACGTACTTTTCTTCGCCTGGGTTGGCATACACCGTCTCTTTTGAGCGGCTAAAGGTGCTGAAACACTTGCCATGTCGATTGGAATCGTAGGGTCGAAGCGCTTATATGTGTTGTCGCCGAATTTGAAGTGGAGGGTTGACTAGTGGAAGTCAGGATACGAGTCCGCGGGAAGCCAACGAAAACGCAAAGCCTACGCAACGCCGAGGCACCTACATGGCACTAGTCCAAATCCGTTCCAGCACTAACATGGCCACTCCCATCGTCCCTCCTGGCCTGCAGCGACATGAGAAGCAAAAAAACAGCCATTTAACGTCCATCACTGCTAGTCGAGAAACACCCCATACCGAGAAATCTGAGGGGTACTTCAACTTCAAACGCATCAAATTCCATGCACACGCTGATAACTGTTCCAATGCCATATAAGTTATGTGCTATAGCTATTTCTAAACATCTAGGACCCCTTTAATCTAAAAGTTACGTGCGTATTGCACCTCCTCGCCTAATTCGCGCAGAGGCTTCTTTTGTGGCGAAATAATGTCCCTTCGCTATAGAACCACCATTAAGCTCTTACCACGAACAGTACACATAAAAGGGCTATATTCGAGTATTAAAGCCATATTACGATGGTAGGAAGCTATTATCAGCCCTATGGCTGCTGTCGCACGCAAATTCATGCAGGGCCGCCACCCCAATTGGTACCTCTAACCGGAACGATTACTAGCCCTGGCTAGTGCGAAACGGCCACATAATCATCAGTGTACTCCGCAATTTGCATAGTGGCTGCCAGGCCCGTGGCGGTGTGAAGTCTTGGCAAGCCGACCTTAGCCCCGCAGCCTTGCGATCCAACTCAACCACGGCCACGCCTCCAGTCAACCAACTCACCTCTTACAGAATTCGCCACCTCACAAGACCATGGCCGGAACGGGTCGGCCGCCCTCCCTGCTAGCGCGATTGAGGTGTTCGCCTTCTAAGAAGACATCAGCGTGGCAAATCCTTTAGAGGTAATTGTAACGGCCGTCAAGCTACAGCCTCGTGGCTCTTGTATTGGCTCTATGAACAAAGACTCAAAGCTAAAGAAGAGAAAGGAAGCAAGAAGGCCAGCGGGCAAAGTAAAATGTTGACGCCATACCGCCACTGCCATCTCCGTGCTGCAACTGCCATCTCCGTGCTGCAACTGCCATCTCCGTGCTGCAACTGCCATCTCAGTGTTGCAGCTGCCCTTGTGACGATATCAAATCAAGACAAGGCCCACGACCGTCACAGTAATTACATGACTCCTTATGTTGTCAAGAAGAATGCATGCTGAAAGCTTCTCGGTGACAAATCACATAGGCATATATTCGCACTTGTTACCATAATTCTGGATAAAGTAAAGTTGTAGCAGAAGTAGGAAATATGAAAAATGCTAACGTATTCCACCACCGAGCCGGCCAAACCACCGAGCCGGCCACTTTTTCTTGGCACAACCAACACCACATACACAAGACAATGCATCAACAAAATAACACTAATTTATTTCAGCAAGAAGGCAGAATTGATCTTGCACTTCAGGCCTATACTTCAGGCCAAATTCGAAGCGTACGACGCGCTGCAGCAGCTTTTAACGTACGACATCAGCGGCTCTCTGATCGGCTTCACGGAATCATGTTTCGACCCCAAATACAGCCAAACTGCCTCAAGCTTACTGCAACCGAAGAGCAGACGATCGTACGATATATACTCGACCTAGATTCGCGAGGATTTCCGCCCCGGCTATGCGAGGTAGCAGATATGGCAGATAAACTATTGACTACGCGTGGTGGGATACCAGTAGGCAAGAACTGGCCTTCGCGGTTTGTGTCTTGTACGGAGGAGCTTAAGATGGCATTCAATCGAGCAAAGGACTGCCAGAGGATACTCCAGGAAGATCCAGAAGTTATCAACGCGTGGTTTAAGCTCGTACGAGACACAAAGGAGAAATACGGCGTTTACGACAATGATATCTATAACTTTGATGAGACAGGCTTTCAGATGGGTATAATTGGCTCTATGAAAGTTGTTACAGGCTCAGAGAGATGTATGAGGCCTAATCTCGTACAACCAGGCGATCGGGAATGGGTTACAGTAATCCAGAGTATCTGCGCTGCTGGGTACACAACCCCACTATTCATTATCTACAAAGGACGCGTCTATATCTCTGTATGGTACGAAGAAGCAGATATACCATACGATTGGAAGCTCTCAGTCTCTGAGAATGGCTGGACAAATAACGCGCTTGGTCTTGAGTGGTTAAAGCACTTTGATGAGCATACAAAGACGCGTCAGGTGGGGTCGTATAGGCTGCTCATCCTCGATGGCCATGAGAGCCATCTTAACCAGGATTTTAAGGATTATTGCGTCGTACGAAAGATCCTTACCCTCTGTATGCCTGCGCATTCATCACATATCCTACAGCCACTTGATGTGGTATGCTTCTCGCCGTTAAAGATGAAGTACTCACAGCGTGTACGAGACTTGGCACGCAAACGCGTCTACTATATTAATAAAGAAGGCTTTCTTCCAGCCTTTAAAGACGCGTTTTTAGACGTGTTTATGTATGATAACTGCAAGAAGGCCTTTGAGGCATCTGGACTAGTCCCTATCAACGCGCAGGTTGTTATTGATTGTCTTAATGTACGATTATGTACCCCACCAGAAGCGCCCCTACCAGAAACTCTATGGCAGTCGAAGACTCCAAGCAATACACACGAATTTGGATCACAATCGAAGCTAGTAAGCGAATCCTTCGTACGATCACTAATAACTGCCCAAGAAGGCTTCTCAAAGCTTATAAAAGGAGCTGAGGAGATGCTATATAAGAATATACTAATGGAGGCCCGCGTACGAGAGCTTGAAGAGCAATTGACAGAAATAACTAAGCGCAAGGCGCGTAAACGGAAGCGGATCCAGCATGGTGGTACGATGGAGTATGGTACAGCAGCATTGTATGTAGCTGCTGAAGTATCTAACACGCCTCAACTATCTAAAAAGGCGCGTGGTGGTAGTGGTCAAGAAAGAGCACAACCAACTCAACGGCGCTGTGGAAACTGTGGAGAGACTGGCCACAACGCTCGTATGTGTAAAAAGGATAAAGAAGAAGCTTCTGAATCTGATACAAGTCTGTCGTACGTAAATTCTTCAGCTAGTTACGAATAAATCTATATTTCGTACTTGGTGTTGGTCGTGCCAAGAAAAAGTGGCCGGCTCGGTGGTTTGGCCGGCTCGGTGGTGGAATACGTTAACTATTTTCCTCTATATAAAATTCCAAGATTTGTTAAGTTTATATCACATAGCCATAGCTTTCCAGACCCAACACCAATGCCAATCATCTCCCCTGACACAGCTGAACATGACGGCCGATACTCTTGAGGTAGCCACAATAGGTTCTCTGTATTATATGTAATCCACACTCCATCTGAACTTACGGCTCCACCCTGATATAGGGGTTTTTGAGCGTCCATACTATTCGGCGTATCCAAGGCTGGTGATATACTTATAGTGATGAGACCAATGTCAGTGCGAAGGCATGAGCCGGTAGAATCAAATGATATGTTGAGAAGTGCCTTGCCAGCATTGAACGTCTGGAAGCACTCGCCACTGCTCGCATTCCAGATCTTGACGGTTCCGTCGTACGATGCGGATGCTAGCCGTGTCGAGTCTTGCGAGAAGGACACTGAGCTGATCCCAACGCTATGGCCCTCAAGTGTCTGTACGCACTCGCCGCTGGTCGTATCCCATATGCGAATTTTGCTATCGTGCGACGCTGATGCCAGTCGTGTCGAGTCCTGCGAGAAGGCCGCTGAGGTAACCCCAAAGCTATGGCTCTCAAACGTTTGCAGGCACTCGCCGCTACTCGCATCCCACACCTTGATGGTGCTGTCGTACGATGCTGTTGCCAACAGTGTTGAGTCGTGCGAGAAGGCCACTGAGCTAACACAGCTGCCATGCCCCTCAAGCGCTTGCAAGCACTCGCCGCTGTTCGCATCCCAGATCCTGACTGTCTTGTCATCTGATGATGACGCTAGTCGTGTTGAGTTGTAAGAGAGAGCCACTGAATTAACTCTATCGCTATGTCGCTTAAGCGTCTGCAAGCACTCGCCGCTACTCGCATCCCAGATTTTGACTATTCCGTCGACTGACGCTGACGCAAGCCGTGTCGAATCGTGCGAAAATACCATTGAGGTGATATAGCTGCTATGCTCCTCAAGCATCTGCGAGCATTCACCGCTGTTCACATCCCAGATCTTGACTGTCTTGTCATCTGACGCCGACGCTAATCGTGTCAAGTATTGCGAGAAGACTACCGACCTAACACAACTGCCGTGGCCTTTGAGCGTCTGCAAGCATTCGCTGCTAGCCATATCCCAGATTTTAATTGCTCCGTCGATTGACGCCGACGACAGCCGTTTGAGGCCGTGCAAGAAGACCACTGAGCTGACAGAACTGTTATGGCCCTTCAGCGACTGCAGGCACTCGCCACTACTTACATCCCAGATCTTGACCGTCCTGTCATCTGACGCTGATGCTAGCAGTTTTGAATTATGCGAGAAGACTACTGAGCTGACTGAACCGCTATGACGCTCTAGCGACAGAAGACACTTGAAACTACTTGCATCCCAGATCTTGACAGACTTGTCGTATGATCCTGACGCTAGTAGTGTCGAGTTGTGAGCGATAGCCACTGAGTTAACCGAACCGCTGTGGCCTTCTAATGACTGCAGGCACTCGCCACTTGCATCCCAGATCTTGACAGTCCTGTCGCTTGAAGCCGACGCCAGCCATTTCGAGTCCTCAGAGAGGGCTACAGACCAAACTTCGGCACTATGTCCCTCAAATGTTCGTACGCACTTGCCACTGCTCCCATCCCAGATCTTGACAGTCCTGTCGTTTGACCCCGACGCTAGTAGTGTCGAGTTGCGGAAAAGGGCTACTGAGTTGACATATTGGCTATGGCCCTCGAGCGTCCGCACACACTCGCCGCTGTTCACATCCCATATCTTGATAGATTTGTCGATTGATCCCGACGCTAGTAGTGTCGAGTCGTGCGAGAAGGCCACAGAGTTCACATGGTGTTTATGGCCCTCGAGGGTCTGGAAACAGGAACTCCATGTATCTCCTATGCTTGGCCTAATCGTGATCCACTGTGGTTCTTCGTTCTTAAAATGGCTTTTTATTAGGCTACTGGATGGGCTGAATACGAGTGCAGACACGTATACTTGCAAAGGACTGCTCTCTATTGCCCACTTATGAGCCATGATGAATCGATGCGCATCTCGAACCAGTTCCGTTAATTCAGCTGCATCGGCTCTTCCCTAGTCCGTGTTAGCGTGGAATATACATAAGCAGCTTCATGATGTACGTATTACCTTCATTAATTTCTCAAGTTTCGCCATGGCGATAACACCTTTTGGCATGCTTTTGCACAGGCCCAGGGCCTCAAGCCAGTAGAGATATTTCGTTCTTAGGAAGTTGTCGACAGGGCCTTGATCCTGTAGCGGGACCCTATCATGTGCAGAACAACCGTGATTCCAGTCGGAGAGGTGATCAATCCAGTAGATGCACGAATACCGCGATGCCGCTAATGGGTCCGGGTCCGGTTCTTCTACCTGGTCCGCGGGATATCCTAGCGCACGTACGCCGTACATGTCTCGTCGGAGCGTCTTCGACATAACTTGGAGGGATCTTAAGAAGATAGCACGGTGGACCTCCTTCATTCCGTTTGGGAAGATGTCGCTAACGGCCTTTGTGCATAGGAAGTCTTTTGCAGATTGATGCACGAAGTAGACCGTACCGCTTCGAATCGTAAGGAACGAACCGCATAGGCCAACGATCTGTTGGACTGAAGCAAGGTCATCGGCCATATCCTCAAGCGGTTCGCAAAGATATGTCAGCTCGCTAAGCGCAACGGGCCGATATACAATGGCGACCAAGGCCAATATGCGCTTGCACAGGTCAGCATCGTCCGAGCTGCTTATGTGCTGCATCATCCGATTGTAAAGAGCGTCGAGTCCGGGTGGAAATGCTTCTAGTTTCGCGAGCACCTTCCATCTTGGTATGTCGCCAAGATTTTGACAGACTAAGGCTACCCAGAGGAAGGTGTTATACGCATTTGAGGTTAGATGAGCTAACACAGCACTCTTCTCTTTCTCTTTATAACTCTTTTCTAGCGCCAGCTGATCCACTCTATGCCGAATGTAGAACTGAACAGCAGTAGACACTGAGGCCGCATTCAGCTCGAGGCTAAGTGTTACATTCTGTCCTGCTCTCTCAATACGCTCCTCGATATTAGGCCAGTTGCGGCTGGAAACGATCCACTTAACTCGAGCAGACACGCAAGACGTTTGCACGATGAAGTCTAGCAGTTTCGGTAGTCCAGTGGCGCATTCGTCGAGCGCATCAACCATCAAGTATGTGTCCTTTAAACTCGGGTCTCGGAGGACGTCTGAGAAGATTTCAGACAGTGCAACCCAGGCATTTGCGTCCTCGAAGAGTGCTTTGCCTGCATGGTCGTGCTTCTTCCGGATATGCGAGACAAGCGATGGCTGCTGATAAACAAGCATGTATAGCAGACCTCGCAGGACAGCTGTTGCGCTGTTAATCCGCGAGTCTGTAGCCTGGAAGAAGAAGTAGGACAGAAGAGCTGTGTTGGTCGTTGAGTCTGTCAGTTCGTTTGCAATTCCGCAGAGCAGCATCGTCTTGCCCTTGCCTGGATCGCCCTTGATCCATAGCAGCCGGCTCTGCGGGTCGTCACGCCATTGTTGGAAGTCGGAGTTTTCCAATATCCAGTGGTAAGAGTCCTCTAGCAAACCACCCTTGGTATCTTCTATTCGCTTCTTGTCATCACGAGGATCCGTTAGGCGTAGGTCTCGAAGGCATTTGTTCAGCTTCTCGATTTCCTCCTCAAGCCGTTTGAACGCACTCGCAGATCCTTCCCCATAGCGAAGAGGCATTTCGACGTCAAAAATACCAAGTAGTGAGTACGCTTTGTCTTCTTCGACCTTTGTATGGCGGCATTGTATCCACCGAAATCGCTCTTTGTCGCTGAACTGAGATAAAGGTGCCCCTTCGAGTGCTGCATCAGGAATCCCTGTGATTTCGCGAATTTGTTGCTTCAGCAATCGTCTGTCGCCAAGTTTTTTCCGTTCTTGAGAGAAGAATTCGACCAAAGTTGGGGCAAGAAGCTCCTGGAGGGTCCAGCCTCGTGTAAACCATCTGCTTGCCCGAAAAGCTGGCTCCCAGGTAAACTTAAGGGATTCATCGCCCACTTTTCGCTTAGCCGTCGAAACATCCGATAGATAGACGTAGCATTTCGCCGCATTCTGGTACCAGCGGAACATAGAGTTGATAGCTTCTTGAAGCTCGACGTGATTTGATTTGTTAATGCAGCAGGTGTCCACCCAAAAGTATCGCAAGCCGTCGCGTTCAGCCTGTTGTCCGCAGAACTGGATCTTATTGTAGCCAGTCTTATTCTTTCCAGTGCCATCCATCAAATCTCCAAAGGTGACCTCTTCGCCCTCTCTCCAAGTATGCGAAAGGATCGCATAGGGAGGGATAGGATCATAGCCCACCAAGTCCTTTGTGAGGCTAAACTCGCCAGTGTTGCTGCGTAGCAAAAGACGCATTACTACGCGGGGAGTTCTAACGGACGCATGCAGAGGAATAGGGTCCCAGAGGGTCAACGTGGCAGCCTAGCTAAGGAGACGAGCACGGCAAGTCGCCTGAGAACGTTGGTCTTAGCTCTCGAGGTTAGCTCGCATACAAGGAAATAGGGACACTGAACTTTACCAAAGGAGCGCATCGAAAGGCGGGATAGTTCCAGAGTACTGTGAGCTGATTCTGCTGCCTGTTGGCATGTTAAGGGAGGTTGAACAAGCTCAGCCCAGGAAGGGCGTGGCTGTTGCACAGCCGCAGTGTGGCGCGGTAAGGCTGACATGTGGGGTTTGCCGAAGGCGATTTTGCAATGCAACAAGCTGAAGTGGACGAACACCTTGATGACGCTAGCAGGGAGGACGGCCGAACCGCACCTGCCAGGAGCTTGTGAGGTGGCGAATCTACAAGAGATGAGTTGGTTGACGGGGAGGCGTAGAAAGTAGCCAAAGGATGAGTTGGATCGCAAGGCTGCGGGGCTCGCTTGCCAAGACTTCACACAGCCACAGGCATGGCAGCTACTAAGAAATTTGCGGATTATGTGGCTCTTTTGCACTAGCCAGGATTGATAATCGTTCCGGTTGGAGGTACCAACTGGAGTGGCGACCCTGCATGAATTTGCGTGCGACAGTAGATACAAGGCTGGTAATAACTCTTAAGCATCGTAGTAAGGTTCTAACGCTTAGATAACAACGTTATAAGTATTATGGAGTGGTAAGAGCCTAATAGTAGTGCTATAGAGAAGAAACGCTGTTTTGTTAAAGAATATAGCTCTCTGCGAATTAGGTGCGAAGACGACAATACGTAACGTAATCTTTAGATCGAAGAGGTTCTAGATATCTAGAAATAGCTATAGCATATTACTTATAGAGAATTATTATAAATATTAACGTGTGCATAGATTTTAAGTTACTTAAAGTTAAAGTACCTCTTATATTTCTTAGCGTAGAGTATTTCTCGACTAGTAGTAATAGACGTTAAGCTCTTAATTTAATTAAGAGAACGTTCTAGTTAGTAGAAGAAAATAATAAGTTAAGATAGTATAAGAGCTAGGTTCGTAGTCTCTACTACTATAAGCGCCTCTAGAATACCTAGCTAGGTAAGTTAGCTATAGGTAGTACTATCTCTATAAGCTATAAGAATAAGAGGTGCTAGTAGAGTAGGTTAGGTTAAATTTAGCTATTTAAAGGTAAGAAGTAGAAGAATACTCTAAGAGGCGCTATATATAGAAGTGCTAAGTACTAAGACGCTAGGCTAGGTTACGTAATAAGATTACGTAACCTAAGGTAAATTTCTAAACTAGACTATTATATTACTCTCTCTTATAGAGAGAGCTTATCTCTAAGCTCTAAAATATACCTTCTAGATCTCTCTTTTTCTAAAACTTCTACGTTATACTCTTAACTATCTCTTTTAGCTTATAGTAAGTATATTTATATTAGTTTTAAACTAGAAGTACTTTTATAGCTACTATCTTCTCTCTAGTTACTCTATTCTCTATAGAGCTCTTAACTATAAGAGCTAGGTTCGCGGTCTCTACTACTGTAAGCGCCTCTAGAACACCTAGCTAGGTAAGTTAGCTGCAGGTAGCACTATCTCTACAAGCTGTAAGAATAAGAGGTGCTAGCAGAGTAGGTTAGATTAAATTTAGCTATCTAAAGGTAAGAAGTAGAAGGCTGCTTCTAAGAGGCTCTATATATAGAGGTGCTAAGCGCTAAGGCGCTAGGCTAGGTTACGTAACAGAATTACGTAACTTAAGGTTATGTAATCTAAGGTAAATTCTAAACTAGACTATTATATTACTCTCTCTTATAGAAAGAGCTTGTCTCTAAGCTCTAAAATACGCCTTCTAGGTCCCTCTTCTTCTAAAACTCTCGCGTTATACTCTTAACTATCTCTTTTAGCTTATAATAAGCGTATTTATGTTAGTTTTAAACTAGAAGCGCTTTTATAGCTACTACCTTCCTTCTAGTTACTCTACTCTTATAGAGATTTAAGCTAGAAGGCTTGTTTTCGCGTCTGTAGAGTAGCTTTGTTATAGGCTCTCTTCTTAGTAGCGCCTTCGCGTTACTCTTGTGTCTTCTACTCTTGCGAGTTTTAAATTCTCTACTATCTTCTCTAGAGTCTCCTCTTTTTTGTACGCCTTAATCTAAGTATCTAATTATAATAGTAGCTCTAGCTTATCTAGGTATACTACGTAAAAGTCTCTTACCTTATAGAGAGCGTTAATAAAGCCTATAGCATTATACTAGGTAGAGTTAGAATTATAAGTAACCTATATAGCGCGGTATTAAAGGCGATTTTAATAAAGACGGCTATCTAGAATTTTATATACAGGCTATTCTAGATTACTATTTACTTTAATAGGTAGCTACTTAGGCTCTACCTACTCTAGTAGTAGCTCTAAGGCTTTTCTTAGCTAATTAGCGTAAAAGACGTTATGCATACGTATATACGTAGGTAGCTAGAGCTAAAAGAAGTAACTCTTTATAGTAATAATTAGGTAAGAGCTATATATCTATTAATCTAGCTTTATACTAGGCTAATCTATTAAAAAGCTACAAGGTTTAACATAGACAAGGTTGCCTACTATAAAATTAGGTTCTTAGCGCTTTTTATTTACTTAGAGCGCCTGCCTAGCTTACGCTTTCGC